CGAGGCGAGGCTCTTAGGGGGCCACATGCGAACCCTACCCCTACCCCCCACGATTTCTGAGGGGGAGGGTGGGGTTCACTTCTTTCGGGAGCTCTCGAGCAAAGTGAACCCCACCCTTTCCCTCAGAAGTCGTGGGGGGTAGGGGTAGGGTTCGCATGTGGCCCCCTAGCTCTGGGTCTGCGTTGACGGGCCGTTGCGAATTTCTAAGACTGGCAGGAGGCGAAGAGAAGGGAAGATGGGGAGGGACAGCTCCCAGGGCCGCACCGTGTCGCGGACCTGCCCTTTGGCACCGAGGCGCCGAGGACGGAGATGTATGACGTGGTCGGGGTGGGCGCGGGGCGGGCGGAAAGGGCCGGGGAGGAGGAGGAGGAGGAGGAGGAGGCGGAGGAGGAGGAGGAGGAGGAGGAGGAGGAGGAGGAGGAGGAGGAGGAGGATGGAGCATGGAGAGTGTGCCCCAAGAGGCCTAACAACTCGGATCCTTGAGATTCGGACCTCGATCTCAGGAGGTCCACGCGGAGGTCCTACGGAGGTACACAAACACGGACCTCCAGAGGCCCCTTGGAGTCTTCCAGAGGCCCAGGGGGCAAACAAGAAACTGACCCCCCCAGTCGTTTTCCTTCTCCTGCTCGCCGCGATTTTCCTCCTCGTCTCCCATTCCTGTTCCTTGTAGATAACTCGTTGTCGCACCCCCAGCGGTGTTGGTAGGGCGGGCCAGAAGTGTCGCCCGAGAGTCCCTCACCGCTCATGATCCTGAAACTTACAATTTGCAGCAATTCCAGGGGTAGAGGGCGGGCCGTTTTCACAATACGGGCCGACTGTACAGTGGTCTTTTCCTTCCCCAGACATGCGTCGTCCTGATTTTTACAGGACGGCCTCCCTGAAAGTCCCGACCCTTTCCCCGGGACCAGTTGTTCGGCCTGAGTCGTTTTTTGACGGTCCCGAGGCCTGGCGAGGGCCCCCGGGGGCCGAAAATAGCCAAGCACCTCCCGTCCTGATTTTTTTACGACGCGATCATGTCTGGGTCCCGTCCTCGAGCCGCACGACGTCGGCGACCGCTGCCCGCAGGGGTCGCCCGGTGCCGGGCTGCAGCCGCTGGACGACGCGGCGGCCGCCGGCGGGCTGGGCATTCGCATTCCGAGCCCCGACTGCGCTGAGGAGCGCCGAGCTTTTAGACGGAGGGTCACTCGGCTCCCTCCCTCTCCCCCTGAGGAGGAGCAGGGGGACGAGGAGGAGGAGGAGGAGGAGGAGGAGGAGGAGGAGGAGGAGGAGGAGGAGGATCTCTCCCCCTCTCTCTCTCTCTCCTCTCTCTTCCCTCCCTTTTCCTCTCCTCTGCTGGTCTCTTCTCTCCTTCCTTCCGACCCCCAGAGGCTGCTCCGACTCCCCTCTCATTCTCTTTCTTTCTCTTGCTCTTTTCCGTGCCGCAGCCACGCTTCCTCGAGGGCCAGAGTGGCCCACGACGCGCTTGAATTCACTCCAGCAGCGTCCGCGCTCGATACTACAAAGGAGATGTGCGGCATATCATCCTGCGATTTCTTTTCTTTTCTTGCTGATTGTTCTCTCTCACTCTCTCGCTCTCTCTCTTATCCCCTCTTGTTCTCTGTCTCCCTCTCTCTCTCTCTCCTTCTCTCTCTGTCTCTCTCTTTCCAATACCATATACCTCTGTCTTTCGTTGTCTCTCTCTCGCTCTCTCTCCATATATGTATGGATTACTGCTTCTCTCTCTATGTATACACACTAGGTATATGTGTATCCTATATGTAGATGTAAACCTATATGTGTATGTTAGCCAGCGTGGACCCCAAACAGTGTGCTTCTAGCAATCTTTTCTGTGCACTCGATAATCGATGTGGATATATTTGGGTGGTGCGGTATATGTGGTGCGTTGTCTGCAGTGCGATCTAGGCGGTGCCATATATGTTGTGCAATATATGCTGTGCGGTCTAGATTGTACATTGTATGCGGTGCAACCGATGCGGTGCAACAACATCCTGTGCGATCTGGGTTGTACAACCTATGTGGTGCATTCCATGTGCTTCAACACATGCGGTGGGATCTTTGTGGTGCGCACATGTTGTGCTAAGTATCCATATGTGTTGCGCAGTATATGTGCAACATATCGGTGGTGCGATCGATGTTTTGCAATATGTACGAGGCACTACATGTTGTGTAGTCTGTGCTGTGCGATTTCTGTTGTACAATATATGTGATGCAATCCTTTTGGTGCGATCTAGGTGGTCTAACTCACTTGCCGAACTTGAGGTTGACAACTCCACCGCTCGCGCAATCATCCTACCCACCCACCCGCAACTTGGTTTGCAAAACCCATGCGGGAGCGATTGCGATGAGTGCTGGGTGTTGGCTGGTGCATCTCTGCGGCCGCGCTAGCCCGCGCACGATCGCGCGCGCAGCGGCCAGCCAGTTTGGCGCGACCGACGCGAACGCGGTGGCGCTGACCGCTCGGCACATCCCAGCGGGTACTTCAGTGCGAGTTGGCGACTTGGGCGGGCGCGTTACCATTGCAACGTCGATAACGGTAGACACGATGATGATAGTAACGATGCTGGTGACGAGGATGACAGCGACGACGGGGCAGCAAGTGACGGCACCGATGCTGATCACGCCGGCGACGATGACGGCGTCTTCGCGTCGGTGATAAAAAAGGTTTTGGGAGGAATTGGAAATGCGCGCGCGGCAGACGCGCGAGAGTGGCGCGCGTGGTTTTATTTGACACGGGCCGTGCCACCCCAGCACGCGCGCAAAAGGCGTTCGAACGATTTCGACATGCGCGCGCACGAAGCCCGCTTGGTAGCATGTTATGGACATGTAGAAAAGCGTATGGTTTCTTCGGAATTCGCAAGAGCGGGAACGTTTTTGTTGAGCATCCGTCTTGCGGAACCATGTTTTATTTAAGTGTTTCGCACGTTCGATTTTGACATCTTTTCATCATCGAATGTTTTTGAGGGGGTTCAGCATGCGCGCGCGACGACGCGCGCGCGTGCACGTTGTTTTTTTGGGGGGTGGGCAAACGGTTTTTTGACAACTTAGGATTTTCGATAAACGAGTGTGCGCGCATAGTAATGAATGCAGGGGAACCGAGGGGGGACCGATATCGATTTGGCTGGGCTAGTATGAGTTCGCAGGTATGATGGACATTGGGTCCGAATCGTATATGTTTTGCATCGGTTCCCCGGGGGAGTCGATACGTCCAGCGGGGGAGGGTGGTAGACCCTGTTTCCCTTTAACATAAGAGGATCCACGTGGCGCAATCAATGGGGCGCAGTCTATCTCATGGCCTTCGCCCCATCCCGCCACCGTGCCTGGGTTGCGGGAGTGCCGCCTATTGGATGATCGGTGGGATCTCGTTGGTGGCCTCTCGGGGGCCACTTGGAGGCAGTTTGCCAGCTCCTTGGGGGCGTTTTGGAGGCTCCAGGGGCCTCTTTGGGGCCTCTTGGGTGCCTCTTGGGGCTCTCTTGGTGACCTATTGGGGGCCTCTTTGGGCCTCTTGGGCGCTTCTTGGGACCTCCTAGAGGCCTCTTCGGACGGAAAGCTCGGATGTGGGGGTTCGCGTTCCCTCTCTTGGGCCCATTTTGGGGCCGTTTTGGGGCCCCCTCTCTGGCTGTCCCACTTTCCCGCCCGTTCTTGAGTTTTTCTCTGGCCTTCTTCTGTCGAATCCTAAACTACGTGACGCATTCCCCGAAGTTCGGTCGCGGCTTGTTAAGCTTCCTTCCTCTACAACTCTCATGCGCGGCTTTCCCTTCGGATCCCATCACAAACATATTCAACACGGATGAAGCGTATGACATCACCCATGGGATTCGAGCATGGTTCTCAGTGGGCTTTGTGCGGTACGTACAGTCCAGCGCGCTCTTCAACGTTATGATTTGCACTCTTGCTCGGTTCTAGCAGCTCTTTCAACTTTACCGTTGGCTGGTGAGTCTCCGACGGGGCTGACTTCAACTCCCACGTTTACGTCACGCGTGACCCTCATGGGGGCCTTTTGGGGGCCTCTCGTGGGCCTCTTGGGGGCCACTTGGGGCCTCCGGGGTGGCTTTTTATCTTGACCCGATAGTTGGCGTTTGCTCAATGGCCCTGGGCGTTTACTCAAACGCCCTGCCCTGTGCGATTCCTCCTGTGGGTGCGTTTACTGCACGGCTTCGCGCACCGGGGTGGTTTTTATGGGGGTGGCCTTTTGATCTCTATTTGGCGCCTCTTGGGCCGTCTTGAGGCTCGGGCCGTTTTGGCCCTCTTGGAGGCCTCTTGGGTCGTCTCGGGGCGATCTTTGGGACCTACAGGGCCGTCTGGGAGCGTCGGGAAGCCGGAAAAGGCGAGGACGCCAACAACTTTCACCACACATATGCAGCATCAATGATTTTGGCCTCTTGGAGCCCTCTTGTGAGACCTTTGGGGCGTCTTGGACGCTTCTTGGGCCGTCTGGGGGCCATCTTAAGCGTCTTGGAGCGATCATTCGGCGACTCGGGGCCCTCGCGGACCGTTTTTTCGGGGCCCTCCTGGGCAAGAAAAAGTGACGAGCCACTCATGCGGGAAGCCCTGGCAAGCCCAGAGAGTTTTGTCATTTCGGGGTCCGGGCCCTTTCAAGAAGTCTCAGGATTGAGGATTGAGGCTGGGGGGATGAGGCAATGGACCTGAGGACATGCCTACGGTAGGTTCGCGTCGTGTCGACCAGCGGCTACCCCAGCGCGGGCGTTCAAGGTTGAACGCCGCCGGCGACCCAAAATCAGTCGATGTTGAACGATCGGACGTTTCGTAAACTACCGATCGTTCAAGGTTCAACGCTTCCCGCGGTGTCAGGGACCAACGCGGGGGTCGGCACGACACGAACCTGCCGTACTCCGTGCCCAGTGGCGCGGTGGCGGATTTGAGGGGTTGTGCTCGCCCTCAGCACGCGCGCAAGAGCGTTTGAGTGATTTCGACACGCGGGCGACAGTGCCGTTTAGACGCGTTTGATAGAAATGTTGAAACACCACTGGTTTTCTTTAGAATTCGCAGGTTTGCGAGCAGATTTCATTGAACAATTATGTGCAGAACCAGGTGCTTTATTTCTTTCGGGACACTCGATTTTGAAATCCTTGCGAAACCCAAGGGTTTTGAATGATTTCGGAATGCGCGCGCGACAACACGCGCGTGTGCACGTCGTCCCTGTTTCCAAGGGACTATTGGAGACCGATGCTTTTTGATGAACAAGTGTGTGCGTTGACTATTCTTTGACGCGGATGAGGGTGGATGTCGGTACCTGTCTGGCTGGGACGACACGAACTCATATTCAAAATGAAGGATGGGGCAATCCATGTTGTGCGATCCATGTGGTGTAATCTGTGCGGTGCAATCCAGAGTGAGGGGGCCGAACGGTCATTCACAGTCCCTGGATGCGTGACTAAAATGGGATTCCTCGATGCGGAATTTTATTGCTTTTGTTGTTGAACTTTCATTTCTGAAGAATAATTCATGTTGATCCCCCCCGTCCGGTGCACATTGTTTTTTTTTCGATTGAAGTGCCCTTCCTGGGGCTCGCACCCTGTCGCTTATCTGGGAAAGTCTTGAGGGTCAAACTGTGTCGTTGGCCCCCGGTTTACAACAACACCGGCTTCCGCCTGATACTTCCTCATCATTTATTGAAGAATCGCGCTCTCGCTTGGGCCTTCCTGGCCATTTACCATCAGATCGCGGCTCCCGTTTGATATTTCTTTACAATGTATTGAAGAATCGCGCTCTCGCTTGGGATTTCCTCGCGACTTATCACCGAATCGCGGCTTCCGGTTGATACTTCGTCACAATTTATTCAGATGCCGTTCCTCGACACTCAGGAATCGCGCTCCCGCTACATATCGCCTGGCGATTTAAGCAGAATTTGCGCTTCAACCACCCGCCCGCTCGACCCGCCCGTCTGGGCCTGCCCGCCCGACCAGCCCGTTAGAGACTGCAGTCGTCGCTCGCTGCCCTTCGCCCGCCTTCGATGCCCCTCGCTGCCCGTACTGGTTTTGCGGTCGCCTTCGCTCGCTGCCCTTCGTGGCTGCCCTTCGTGGCCCCGTTGCTGCCTTCTGTGGCCCCGTCGCTGCCCATTGTGGCCCCGCATTATATGCCCTTCGTGGCCCCCGGTCGCAGTCGCCCGTCGTGGCCCCATACGCATGCCCTTCGTA